TTTTTTAATTACATTTTTATAGCTTAAAAGTTCAACGAAAAGTAACATTAATTTTTTATGAGCATTTTAATCAGAAATATAGACGATATTAGGTTTAAACCGGTAAATTAACGAATTTTCATACATCGATTTTTTATACTTTGTTGTAATTCAAAAACCAATGACCCTAGACACTCAAAATGTTCACTAAATGTTAAAATTGCCATTTTCCATAAATTAAATATACGTACATACAAAATATTTTTTTTCTATTTTTATCAAAATAAATGTTTACTCCACCTTGGTCTTGAAGTTTATATTTATCTATAATTATATGAAGTTGTAAGATATTGTAAGATCAACTATTATTTTTTATTGTTCAATTAGCTATCACTTACGACTTACCAGGCCATACTTAAAAATGAAGACACTATCATTAAAACAATAAACATAATATAGTAGGTATTCAAGAAAAGGTAATTTTAATTTATTTGTTCTGCGAATGATTCATTATGAGTACCTAATAAACATTTATATGTATTAAAATTATTATAATGGTTATAGGTTAGGTTAGGGTGAAATTATACAATAATTTGTTTTATTAAATACAGACTAGGTAGTAGGTAGTAGGTGCAGAGTGTGGTATATTAATAACTAATTATTAAAATCTTCAAATAAAAATAAAAACGAATGTTTTCTATTTAGGATGAGTATGAGTGTAAACCTAAAAAGTAATTATTTATTGTGATTTCGTTTTTAATTTCAATAATCTCTCTCAATACTTTAATAGGTAAGGACTTACAAAATAATAAATTATACAAAATCAACTATTAATATTAATTATTTATAATAAAAAAAATTATATTTAATATTAGAACAATATTCCAATAATAAAATATTAAATATAACCTAATATTAAAAAAAAAAAGTGAGATATAAAAAAAATGATTGTTTATTTTGAACTTAATTAATTATTTATTTTTAAGAGGACGTCACACCTACATGTGTTGTCTCCGTCTTACTTACTCCGTCTATTTTAGTTAACATAAATACAATAAAAGTTATTTGCTTCTAAACATTTCTTTTTTTTTTCTTTTTTCTTTTGGTTATAAAAAATGATTTGATAGTGCTATTAAAAAAAAAATCAAACTATTGCACAGATTAAGTTTTTTATTACGTGTTGTGAAAATTTGGTAGTTCTACAATAAATATGATGCTAGAAAAGTTGTCCCTCACAAACAGTTTTTGCTATGTTGTATATTTGTAAGACGGAGCCACCACATGTAGGCTTGACGTCCTCTTAAAAATAAATAATTAATTAAGTTCAAAATAAACAATCATTTTTTTTATATCTCACGTTTTTTTTTTTAATATTAGGTTATATTTAATATTTTATTATTGGAATATTGTTCTAATATTAAATATAATTTTTTTTATTAGTTTTTTTTATTAATTAAATGTATAATAATTTTTTTTAATATTTATTTATTGATTAAGTTTTTATTATTTTTATATTTTTAAATTAGTATGTTTTTCATATCATTATACATTATTTTAATGTTTCTTATATTTCAATTTGTTTATTGATTTAAAAAAAAAATTAATAACGAAAAAAAGATAAATAAATAAACAAAAACTTTAAAATAATTTTAATTTAAAAATAATAAGAACAACATTTTAATTTATTATTTTATTTTATATTGATGTTTTATTTTAGATTCTGAGTGAAACGATGAATCTATTGATTTTACAATGATGTGCGTGGGGGACGAGGTGGCCGAGCGGTCAACGCGTCGGCTACGGCGCTGCCGGTTCGGGTTCGATCCTCGACCACTGGGCGGCATTTTTCTCCGGGCAAGTCACGGTGTCCGGAGAACAAGTGCCGCCATCCCCCACTCCGGGGCATGGCAGAAACCTACGGGTGCCCCAATAGAAATTCTGCCAAACATTCACGTGTTCCAACCCTACTGTACCAACTGTTCCAACCCTACTGTACCAACCTTACCAACCGTCAGGCTAATGACCTCAGTTGTCGAAGCCTTAAAAAATAATAATAAAAAAAAAAAAAAAAAATGATGTGCGTGTTTTTTTTTTTTTTTGTGTCTGTGTAGACGATTAGTAGTCGAAATAATGCTTCGATTTTCAACTTCAGTAACTTGTTCGATGGAAAAGTGAATCTAGTTGGTACTTTTGGGAGGTCAAAATTTAAAATTCCCAATAGTTTTCACAAGCGACAAGATTAACAAAAAAAAATTAAGGAAAAACGGGAATTTTTACGCAAAATCGAATTTTCACAAAATTGAATTTGGTTTTTGGTGTAACTTTAAAACAAATGACCATAGACACTTGAAATTTTCACTGGTTTTTTATATTTGCATTTTCTATACACTATAATATTTTCAAAATATTTTGATTTATTTTGAACTGTTTTCATTTTCCGTTTTTTTTTAGTTTTTTTTCTAAAGATATCAATAAAATTTTATTTGTTTTAAAAATCCTTTGTCACAGTTTTTTTTTCTAAGCATTTAAAGTTCATAAATTGACAAAATATGGAAAAATCACGAAAATTAGCAAATTATTTTGAGTTAAAAATTCGTAAAAAATTTTCTTTTTAAATCTAATGTTTTAAAATGTAATAAAAGATTCCTCATAAGTTTGTCTACCTTTATCAAAAAAAAAATGTCTATAAGAAAGTCACATTAAATTTTTATGAGCGTTTTAAATTCAAATTTTTACAACATTGGATATTCAATCGATTTCTCATGTAGCGATTTCCTTATTTTGTTGTAATTCAAAAACGAATAACTGTAGATACATGAAAATTTCACTGAATATTTATATTAGTATTTTCTATACACCATACAATTTTGAAAATATTTTGACTCTTTTTGAGCTGTTAACGGACATATTCATTTTTAAATTTTTTTTAGTTTTTTTTTCTATGAATATCAATTAAGTTTTATCTGTTGGGCCAAAAAGTGTAAAAATTTAATTCAAGGCTCCTGATATATTGTTACAATAGCAATTGAAAAATATTAAAAATACATTGGCATAATTTTTTTTTATGAGCATTTAAAGATTGAATTTTGACAAAATTTATCAAAATCTCGAAAATTATCAATCATTTGTAATTAATAAATTAAAAAATGTTCAGTTTTTATAGCTAAGGATTGCAAATTTAAAACAAAGGTTCTCATGAATAGTTCATACTGTAACCAAAAAATCTAAAAAATATATGAACACAGTTATTTTTTACAGACATTTTAAATTCAAATCTGGACGAAATTACATAATAAAAAACCTAGAATAACTTTTTTAGTTATTTTGTCGTGATTGTATAATATTATTCGTGGGTACTTGAAACTTCTAAAGTATACTACTATATATGTATGGTAGTATCAGGGTTTGTTGTTGGAGTATAACGCGTTATAAGTACCTAATGGATATTGTGATATGATTAATTTGGAATTCATTATAGATCAATTTTTTTTAATACCATAGATAAGTATATAATATGTCTTATACCTAGAATGACATACCGTCTCCGTTCAGAATCGTTTTTCTTATACAATGTGATATATCATTGAATTCAAATGTAATACCATCAATTATACAGTGACCCACTTGTAACCTACTGTACAGCAGAGCGACACCCACTTGCCCACCTTTTTATGAATAATTTTTTAATAAACACAAAATAAAAAAAAAGTGGGCAAGTGGGTGTCGCTTTGCTTTATAATAAGTTATAAGTGGGTCACTGTAAATTGTAATGGATTGTGAATTTAACGATATGCTATCATTCTATACGAAAAACGATTCTGAGCAAAGACTGTTAGTCAGCCTTTGATATAATACTTAGTATATTTGATGATATTATTGTGGATAAATTAATGTATTCACGATTCACCTATTTACGCGGAACCTTGTTTTGAATTATCAATCCTTAGCTGTAAAAGCTAAATATTTCATTAATGTTTAACTAGAAAATAATTTTTAAATTTTAAATTTGATAATTATGAACTTTAAATGCTTATAAAAAAAATGGGTGCCCATCTATTTTTAAAATTTTATAACTACTATTGTAACAATATACCAGGAGCCTTGTATTAGTTTCGACGCTTTTTGCCCAACAAATAAAATTTTATTGATATTTTTAGAAAATAAAATTAAAAATTGAAAATGCCCTTAAACAGCTCAAAATGAGTCAAAATATTTTGTAAATTTTATCAAGTATAGAAATTGATAAATTTATATTTATTTTTAATATTAATAATATTTAATAATATAATATTATATTTTACCTATCTGATGATATTTCAACTTTCAAGTAGACTAAAATTAATGTATGAATTTACACAATACACATACAATATACATAGGTATACGAGTTTATTATAATATGTTAAAATGTCATCTAAATATCAAATTGAAAAACGTTTTAGTTGTTCCATCTTTGATAAGAATACAGTTTGATAAAAAAAAACTAAAATATACGCTTCACTGAGTTGGTATGGACCATTTCGTTTTTTCGCCGACCTTGGTAACAACATGTTCGCAGTGTTAACGCATAAAACAAGATTTTAATAATACTATAATATTACAATATATATTATATCATATAAAAACAACATGACGTCTTGTTGACCGAGCATACATAGTACATACCTAATACTTACAATATATATTATATTATCATTTTAACGTTAACTTCTGTGTTAGAGAAGGTGGTGCTGGCGAAAGGTGCACGCAATTCGTTTAGCGGAGGGGCGGAGGAGAAATTCAATATAATACATAAGTAGAGGTGCAACAGCAGTTTGATATACAGAAACGGCGTTAGTAGTGGCAATGGTACATATTATGGTTGCAAAAGACTTAGAGGGAAAATAATCGGACGCGCTCGTGTCAAGCTCGCACCCAAAGCGATCAACAACAGCACTGCCATCGATCAATAACTCGACGACTGTGAATCACAACGGTTTGGCTCATATAGTTTGGATTTTTTTGTACATTTACACAATACGATGAACGCCACGAGTGTGGTATTCATGGTGATCGTGGTGACTTTGTCAATGGCCGGGTCAGGCCACGGTATGGCGTATACCGTGTTCCAGGCGGTGGTCGAGTACTACCGGATGCTGGGACCGGCACCACAAGATGCCGTGCGGGACGCGGGTTTCGTGAGGCGGCAATATGACTTCGTGGTGGTAGGTGCCGGTTCCGGTGGCTCGGTGGTGGCCAACCGGCTGACCGAAGTGGCTGGCTGGACAGTATTGCTGATCGAGGCTGGCGGCGAGGAGAACGCCATGACGGACGTGCCACTGCTGGTCAGCTATCTAATCGGCACAGGATTCGACTGGGGCTACCGAACCGAACAGCAGGAAGGTATATGCGGTGCGATGACTGACCGGAAGTGCATGTGGCCCAGGGGCAAAGTGATGGGTGGTACCAGCGTTATCAACTACATGGTGTACACTCGTGGTGTGCCGGACGACTACGACAACTGGGCCAGACTAGGCAACGACGGGTGGAGTTACGCGGACGTGCTGCCGTACTTTAAGAAATCGGAGGACGTCAGGCAGAGCCCGCTGACAGAGTCACCGTACCACGGCCGCGGGGGATATCTCAAAGTGGAGGAGCCTACGTGGAAGACGAAACTAGGCCCAGTGTTCCTGCGCGCCGGCCGCGAGTTGGGCTACGACGTGCCAGCTGACCACAACGGGCCGCGGCCGTTGGGCTTCTCGTACGTGCTGGCCACGACAGACCATGGCACCCGGTGCAGCGCGTCAAAGGCGTTTCTGCGGCCAATCCGTAACAGGCCAAACTTTACAGTAACCAAAAATTCGCTGGTAACAAAGGTACTCCTGGACCCACACACCAAACGTGCCACCGGTGTCAAGTTCGTGAAAAACGGACAGACCATGGTGGTGCACGCCCGTAAGGAGGTAATACTGAGTGCCGGTGCACTCAACACGCCACAGATACTGATGTTATCAGGTATTGGACCGGCCGATCATCTGGCCGAAGTCGGCGTGCCCGTCGTCAAGGACCTCAAGGTGGGCTACAACCTGCAGGATCACGTGTCCATGGCTGGGCTGGTTTTCCTGGTCAACCAGTCGGTGACCATTATCGAGAGCAGGTACCGAAACCCCAAGTACCTACTCCAGTACGCAGTCAGCGGCGGAGGTCCGTTCACCATACCTGGGGGCGCGGAGGCGCTAGCATTCACGGCCACGCGGCACGCGACCAACGGATCCGTGGCCCCTGATATGGAACTGGTGTTCGGTCCAGGGGCCTTAACCGGTGACACGGGTGGGTCGTTGCGCAGGTTGCTCGGTATGAACGAAACTTTCTACGATCAGGTATACGGAAAGTTCAAAGAACACGACGCTTGGGGTCTGGTGCCGATCCTGCTCCGGCCCCTGAGTCGCGGACGCGTCAAGCTAAGGTCGAATAATCCTTTCCAAGCACCAATGTTCTACGCTGGCTACCTGACGGACAAGCGAGACAGAGAAACTCTTATCGAAGGCATAAAACAGGTAATTATTTTTATTACTATTATTATTGTGGCGAGTAAATTAATTATGACCATTATAATTTATAATTTAAGTAATTTCAACATAAAGAATAACGGACGACAAAAACAAAAATAATATAATATGTAGGTTACCTAATATAACGAAACTACGAAAGTATTAATAACCGATAACGCAGTGGAAGTAGGTATAAGTGTACAACTTAGTAAAACTGATAGGTACAATACGTCTTGTTTTCAATACAATAATGATATACAAATTTTAAAAATATATAGATAGTTAAGACCTTTTTTTTGCTGTTGGAACCGACGGCTCCGCGGGAATAGCTTTCGCATTACTCCCGCGCCGCCCCGACAGTTAGAGACCTATAAAGTATAAAGTATATAAAGTATAACTGTGTTATAACTTATAACTTGTCATGACTGTATAAAACATAACATTTTAGCTGTCTTGAGATTTAAATTACACCTAACCATTGTTGTAAAATGTTTAAGCATATAAATTTAGTAAAAAAGGGCTGTTGATAAAAACCACATATTTTTTTAATTTGTCACAGATGGACTATATATCTATGATTTATTTTTTTAGCCCAGATGGATAAATCCTAAGTAATACGTCCGACGTTGATTTGACGATCAGTTTGATAATTCCCTTTTATTTTCCGATATAAAAATATTTTGAAGGTATGAAATATGATATAAAATTTCATACATCATATTTTTTTTTTAAATTCATTATATCTTGAGGGGAGGGGCGGAAAAGTTGTAGAAAACTTTCTGGGAATGTTAACACCTCTACGTTATATTATGTTTTTAAATTAGTTTTAAAAGCATTTCCATTTTCCTATTATCCGCTAAATTAGGTGCTATAATAAAATTATATCATAAGAATACTCGTATAAGCTTTTAAAAACATCTTAAGATGTTGCTGAAAATAAATGTGTTTATTTTCATTATACTATCAAAACCAAAATATTATTAAATATAATCTGATTTAAATCGTTATGTTTATAAATATGGATGTACCGGAGGAAGGAAAATAATATGAATTTTGATTGTGCATGTAACGGCCAACGGGTACCTATTTGTTTATATTTTGGTCAATGGTCATAGTTTATTACGATTTACGAATGTATATAAATGACTTAAATGTATAATAATATTTGAATATCAGTGAATTTTATTTGTATCATAATATTATGTGTGCTCTAACCAAACCTAACCTATGGCCCAAGGCAAGTCTATATTTTTAAGATTCTCTGTCGTAACAAAAATGTACACATGAAACGTCAACTTGGGTACTAAAACAAAATTATTATCTTGTACTAGTATTTCTCGGATGCTGAATATTATAATATTATACTTTCGTTTTCCTCCATATGTTTATATTGTATAATAATACTAGCACGCATTCGTTCTTTCGATCAATTTGAGTTGTTTATAATATTCATTATTCGCGAGGAGGTATAAGTATAATATTAAATAATCAATATAATATAATTTCAACAATCAAGGTCAATAATACTTTCGGGCATTAAATATATAGGGTATTTAGGTGATATTTGAAGATACCGACACTTATACTTTCGCTACCCATTAAATATATACAAGTTACTTGTGTCACTAAACAGGTAATAAAATACCAATTCTGATTCTCGATACCAATATACATATAGGTCTGATACAGGCATACAGCTTTTTTCACTTTTGAGAACTTGGATTATTTTTATTTTCATAATTTTTGTTGAACATAAATTATAATATATTTACTATTCGTAGTATTCCAAGTTTGGACCGTCAGAGTTAGATTATCGCACGTTATTTACCAGGCTATTGGACGCCTAAATTAATTTGTATTCATTAACGAGTAACCACATAATATTATAACTTCATGTTATACATAATATAACTTAATGTTATTCTTCCAAACATTATTTTCCGGAATCCGCGACATCAAATACAGAAGTGAGTGCACTGACATCGGTTTGCGAAAGTACCACGCGTAAGTACTATGTAGATATTATTATGATGTACATGATAAGACTTTTTTTTTATTCACTTCACTGCATGAGTCGCGTCTGCGGAGTATAGTGTTATGCATTTGCGGCCGTTTTCTCTATTTTTGAAAACACGCGTACTCATATATCAAGTCATCTGCCCGACAATGGCAATTGAACGCAAGCCACCGGTGCACTGCAATAACAACAACAACAACAACTCGTTCTCCGCGGGTAATAATAATAATATAATGTTTACACCGCGTGGCGTTACGAAACGTCTTCGCGCCGCGGTAACCGGTTATTATGTATTAGGTATCACCATTATTATTATTAATATTAACCGGCCGTCGACGATATGCCGCAGTGTTATTATTAAAATTCGTTTGTTCGAGATCTGGTATCACTATTAATCGTGACACTGTAACGCAAATAAATAATAAACGATATACCGCAATATCATATTTTTATTTATCATCCCGTCCCCTAAACCGGTGCGCGGCGCTCCTGATCGGACCTTGACGCGCCCGCCGCCACCGACTCGGAGAACGCGAGCTCTAAACCCACGCGACCCAACGGCCTTGTACCAGTTATTTGTTCGTCTGGTCAGCAAGAAGATCAAATAGCTGCTGCAGAAACATCGATCGGCCGGGCACCAAGCGCAGCGGTTTATGCCGTCCGCGCGTTTTTCGACTCTTCGTCGTGCGCGACTATTCTCGTATTATATTACTATACAGTCTCTGAGTGTCGTACACCCTTAGAAGGGTTCCCCTTGGACACCAAAGTTTTCTAAACCAAGCTTTTTATCGTTTAATTTAATACTGTATAGCTGAACATCCCGGCTCCTCCTGTGTGCAGTTTTTTCTATGGCAAATCCTGTCTATATAGTATATTGTATGTCACATAGATGTATCTCGGTTTCAGCGTATCTCAGTGTGTTTTAGTGTAACTCAGTTCATTGACAAATTGGCGTCAGAGTAGGTACCTATCTTTGTGAAATAATGGGCAATCGCAATAGTCAAGAGTCGGATTTAGCACTTACTACATTATTTTTACAAGCCCGGGCAAGTTAATGATGATTTTTTTTTTACCCAGTTATTCAAAACTTATATTTAAACTTACAATTAACTTATTAACTTATGTTTAATATTTTCTCATTTAGGAATAGCCAGTAATATGGTTTAAAATAACAAAAAGTAAATGTTTACGCAACACCTATAATCATCTATAAATTATAGTAACTTGGATTTGATTAAAATTAACTCGTTATTTACTAAATTTATATCAATAAAAATCAGTTAAGTAAAAAATTTAAGTTAGTAAAAATGTTTAAAAAAAAAATAAATAACTTTTAACTTAACTTTAACTTTTTATCTCGTTTATGCCTAGGCTTGTATTTTTAACGTGGTATAAACTACTTATTATCTAAGCTTCAGTAATATCTCTAAAAACGATTTCTGGGATTTTCGTGAAAATCAATCGAGTAGTTTTTAAGTATATAAGCTAATAAAAACATACATTTGATTTTAATTTATTGGTAGTTTCTTTAATCGAGGCCATGTAAGCCCTACAATTTAATACATGCTTGTATCTGATTTACCAAGTAGCTAATAGCAAAGTAATTTATTAATAAACAGTAATTCGTAACTAATTTATAAACAAAAAAAAATTTCACCGTGAATCTTAAGAATCACTGTTTTATCACCTCTTTAAAATGGAAATATCGGAAAATCCTTTCTTATTCCACGTCTAGAAAATTAGAGGGACCAGGGAGCAGGGACCACGCTATTCCAAATTTAAAGTTCGTACATTTTGTAGTTTTTAAGATTTACCGATGAATGAGTGAGTGAGTAGTATTTGGCTTATATATTATATATATATAATATACATAGGCTATAGGTTGGATTGCGATCAATTTGTATTCGTCTATGTGGGCACAAGATTATTATACATATAATGTAGGCCGTTTAATACACCGACAAATATTTTCAGGGTACCTACAAATAACCTACAGCTATAATTAGCACATCCAAACTTTGAACCCCGTTATAAATTGAATACAATTTAAGTCCAAGAACGTCGATGTATAATATTTTCGGTACGTACCTAACCAGTTTTAAGAGTGGTAATCTGTTTTGGTAATGAAATAAAAAATATAGGTATATCGTATATGTTGCGTTTTGAAAATGTTCCTATCGTATATAATATGTTGCGTTTAAGCACAACAAATGAAAAATAAGGGAATATAAAATATTATATCAACAATATGACGCTGTGATACACGATGTCTCACATGATATTGATTATAGGTCTATCATAATCATAATATTCATGTTCACCGACCTAATATTAACAGTGTCAGTTTTAAACGAAAAACAATGTCAAACACGATTTAATAGCTTAAAATATTATATTTGCTTATAATCGAATTACTATAAAATACTATATTATGCACTTAATTAACGACGTGTATAATTACGAGTTATTCAAACACGCTACTAATTAGAAACGAAACGCGATATTTTAGCTAGGTATTAATTTGTTCGTTAATCATTCATTTAAATTTAACTCATCGATTGTTATGGTTCGATGGTACAAATTACAATTCTATAATATTTATCAATATCATATTCTACTGGATGTCTAATATTTTTGTATTTATTTGAAAACATTAGTAACAACATCACTTTTAAGACACTTTTATTTTGGCAATATTAATGTATCATAAAAATTAAAAATTAAGTACCTAGAATATATTTATTTATTTTATTATAAACATATTTTTGTGGACTACGATTTTCATCTTTTTGCATTGCATCACTTTTACTTTATTTCAGTGTAACACATTCGTTATGGCGCGTGTCCAGTAATATTATATATAAGTTAATACCTATACATCATAATTCATAACCGTCACTTACCGTTTCAGTTTATAGTAAAAAGTTAATAGCTACATTTAATGCTGGTAATTTATTATAAAACTAGGAGGAAGTTACTTAGGTAGTTACATAAATACATAATTACATGTATTACAACGCTTAAACAACATGATATATACTTATAAAATAACAAGTAGGCATTAATACAATTTATAGGCACCAACAAATTAAAAATTAAAAATATGAATACAACATTATAAATTTATAACTATACGACATACGTATTATTAGTTCTAACTGTACCAGTGGATATTATTTATCGTGTTTATTTTCTATTTCTTTTTAATAATTTGTCAGTGTATTATATTTGAGTGATACATTTTTCATTTGATAGTTCAATACAATAGTACAATCATGCAAATATATAATTCAACCTTGTTCTATAAATGTTATGTATTTGATTACGGACAAAATAAAGAAATACATCAAGCTCACCTAAAAAAATCAAAAACATTTGAAATTTATTTTCTTTCTAAAGTATTTGCTTAAACTTGACCTATATATACTATTTTTGATTAAATCAATTCACATATAATTATTTAACAAGTATAATCTGCCTTTATATATTTGATTCCACATCAATATATAAATATATTAATAAGTATAAAATTAAATAGGTAGGTACGTGGTCATTACAAATTTGTAAGTATATAATGAATATTGTTTGGATTGATAATAGTCCAATAATGTCTATAATGATTAATGAGTATAATTAATATTATTTACAATTTAGGATTTCAGGCGTAGCATAGTAATAGCCATTGCCCAGTTGTGAGTATACGCAATGTAATAAGTACTAATAACACACCTAGGACCTACATATTATGCTATGGACTACAGTTGAAAAAAAAAATGCTAATACTGTGATAATATACCACTCGGTCTAAATTCCACAAAAGTTATTCTAGTAGTAGACGTTTATAATATTATTAAATATGTATATATTACAAAAGAAAAGCAATTAATTGTAAACTAATTATCTATTGACATTTTTTAGGGTTAAAGTGTAACTCTGATTTAATTATAGTTTTTGTTTAATTGCATTAATTGGCCATTGTTAAAAGTTTAACGCGTAATTATTTAAATTAAGTGGTTTTAAACAATAAAATTACTTCGGTAGGTGTGGAAAACGAATATATACAAAGTACTACCGTTAACTACCCACTGATAGTTGTCAACTTAATGAACAAAATGCTTTATTTAATAATATATACTTTATATTAAACTCCACCGACACAAAATTAAAAAAAAAACAAACATGAGTCGATGTTAATTCAGTAACTAATAAATTTGCGTTCAAATGTACAATGAATTATGTTGAGTGAATATAAAATAAAAGCTTTGCGAATCAGTAATTTGTATTTTAAATCGTTCCAACTACGCTGAAAACTTAATGACTTGTCACAACTCACAATATTATCATAGATAATGTACATATGGATTGGATATCCCTATACTTAATTTTCACGTTATACTGTGATCGAAGAATCTATTAGTTATGACAATGGTTATAACTTATATGTGGTTCTGTGGTTGTAGGTACTTATGGTTTATGATAAAGAAAAACATTTTATCAATCCGAATCAATCGAATTTGAAATTCACTAAATTTCAGTAATATTTTTTTTTTTTTATTGTCATTGTTATAAGTTTATAACTATAATAATATTAGTCATATAGCAGCGTTGAAAGGTTATCATTCTACATTATTTAATATTATAAGTGGCCAAGATACCACAAACTCAATTTATTGCATGTAACCGCCACTTTGGTAACTATAGTTACTAGTACGCTCTTAGGTCACACTTAAATATACAATACATAATATCCTTTTAATATATATAATAATTAATGTTATCTATGAAGATTGATCAGCGACCTCCACAGTCCACACATTTTTTATTATGATTGTATTCTATAGGTACCTATTAGGCGTCAATAATAATTGCTAACTTTTTGTCACAGGCCATTGCAGTGAGCGAGACTCCGGCGTTCCAAAAATACGGTTCGAGGCTGTTGCCGATTCCGTTCCCCGGCTGCGAACACGAGCAGTTCATGTCAGATGCGTATTGGATGTGCGCCACCGGACTCGTGTCCACCAACCTGCACCATCAGTCTGGCACCTGCAAGATGGGGCCGGACACGGACCCGGACGCCGTTGTGGACACGAAACTCAGAGTGCGCGGCATCAAAGGCCTCCGAGTGGTCGACACTTCCATCATGCCCGTCATACCGGCCGGTCACACCAATGCGATGGCTTTCATGATCGGCGAGAAGGCGTCCGACATGATCAAGGAAAACTGGCTCAAATGAAAAATGAAAGGACATTACACGATAGAGATATGACTGCGACACGTCTACGTAGAACCACCTGCAGCATATACAATATAATAATTCATATAAAGTAATTTTACCTGGAGACCGGAGTATATACCTACTAAGCACATTATTATTGGATTGCGGTGGCCCGTCGACATTACAGGTCGTCGAGAGCAAGGAATTCAATTTTTTTTTGACCAGAGTTCGATTTGTAAGCAACGACGAAGTGATTTTAAATAATGACCGCGGACGCGAACATCGTACATAGTACGCACCTATAAGGTTGAAAAATGAAAGGTATAAAAAATAATGATTAAAAAAAAAAAAAAAAAAAATAGTTTTTACATTTTAATCTGATGTACCTAATTTATCTATGTATTATGATCTCACAGAATCAATATTTTTACTATTGTTTCTCAATCAATGTGTCTATATTGTTTGAATTGCTTATACCTATTAACAATTCAATCAAAAAAACTCCAAATGTATAATATTTTTATCTATAAACTGTTTTTGTTGATGTGTTCATGACTTAATGGTTATAACTTTTAATTAATTATAAAATAATGTAAATAATGTAAATAATGTAAATAATAATTAGTTTGATATTTGTATCATGATTTATTTAATATGTATGTGAATTAATAAGTAAATAAATTTAAAAATACAACGGTATAAAGTCATTAATTGTTTGTGAACAATGATTATATTTAACACTTTCTTAAAAAGTTTTGATTGTATATCTAACTTGGAAACGATTCCACTTGTTTCTAGATTCCAATTCCTCTAAAATTATATAGGTATTATTACATAATATATAAATATAGGTAAACAATATATAATATATTTGTATAATTGTATGGGCATATCATAGCTTGTCAAACATTCGGGCACTCTCAAAACATCATTGGTACACTATTGACATAATATTATTATGATGGCAATGGTTGAATTTTTTTTTTTTTTTATCCTGTATACAAAATTTCTACCAAAAGGAGTGCTTCAAATTTCAACATATAGTACCTTATCTTTTAGCAAATTGGATCAAGATGGTACTTTAGAGAGGTAGTTTTTAGATTTTCTCAATAGTTATGTAAAGCCACGTGAAAAGCTACCGAAAAATTACGAAAAACCGCTAAAAATGGGATTTTAATTTCTAACGCTTTGTTTATTACCATAGAAACGAATACAAAATTATAATATTATAATATTAATTCAACTTGCATGATATAATAATTAATGACAATATAAAATATCTAGACTGACAAACCAATTCCGCTCAGAATCGTTTTTCTTATACAATGATAGAATATCATTGAATTCAAGTTTAATACAATCCATTATAAATTGACGCACTTGTAATCTACTGTACAGCAGAGTGACATCCACTTACCTGTTTTTTATGATTGTTTATTGATCGGAGGTTTATTTACGAATGAATTTATTTAGTAGGAAATTCGTAAAATATTTTAAATAAATAATTTTTAATTTTGCAATAGAAAGGTATGACCTATATTATGCAAGTGCTTAAAATTAATATTTTGTATAAATCATTGAATTCTAGCAACGATTAAAAAATAATATTAATTCAACTTACAGGCTATAATAAATAATAACTAAAACCAAAACCCAGACTGACAAACCGTCACCTCTCAGAATCGTTTTTCTTATACCATGATATTATATCATTGAATTAAAGTTTAATACAATCCTTTATATATTGACCCAATTGTAACCTACTGTACAGCAGAGCAACATCCACTTACCTGCTTTTTTTTCTATACCCTTCTATTGTTCGATATGGTGATGCTCAAATTATGTAGATACGCTATTTTGGCTTAGGTAATCGACTTGATAGAAATTATGATCTAAATACTATGTATTTTAAACTGGGTGTCAGATCCCAATAACACATGCAATAACATATGCAAATACATGAATTCGGCATTACTTGTGGTGACTGCAGGCGGTAGCACAACTTCAATAAAGTTTCTATAAGTGCGGTACTTCACTCCGGTACTTGGCTTTTAACGACTATACAACCTATATACATCGGAACTATTGTTTTTTGATAGAGACTTGTTGTTTAACCTGTTAGAGCAAAACATTTATAATTTATGAACAAATTAGTATGAACTGTAATACTGTATAGTTTTATATTATTGTGTTAATTAAAAATGATGTTTTTTTTTTCAATAGATAAAAAGTAGTTACTTTGTAAATTAATTTCCATGCATTATAGGTATATACTATATTTATATATTATTTATTATATTGTTATATCAAAGTACGGATTTAATGCACAACTTAATAAACATTATGCTCGTTGTTTTAGATTTGAGATTTGAGATAAATCATAAAATTAAAAAAAATCAAATAACAAAATAATTTTAATCTCATAATATTTTAAGTAAATATTAATGGGGAAAAAAGTATACAATTATAAGTTAAAATAATTAAATAAATAAAATTGTTTAACACAGTATTAGCGGTTTTTTTATCATAATCTCACACAAAAAAAAAGATTTAAAAAAATAAGCCACCAGAATGTGTGTATTACACTATTATCTACATACTACATATTGTAAAAAAAACTATTTAAGTTCTATAAGAAAAAAAATCAGAGAATAAGGTGCTCCATTTATCAATATCGGGCCCTTTACCTATAGTAATACTGTAAGAAACATGTAGTATAGTGCTTATACAGTAAGTGGAAGTAAAATAATAAATATTATACCACTGTATTAAACTCCAAGATAATTAATAATAATGATAAGTATAACTTATAAGGCATAATAATATAATTGTGCATCGAGGAAAAACTTCAAAACTTATGAAAGTTAAGAAATAATTTTAATTTTAGTGAAAACGGTTATACAAGTTTAAAGTTCATTTTTTTTTTTTATAATAAAATATTATATTCATAGAATATAGGCTACATCTATGAATAAGTATAGAATAAGTAACTTAATGACTATTTTAACATGATAATAGTTAATAATTAAAAATAACAATATAACAACAGTAATATACTAATATCCAAAGTAAGTAATAGGTAAAGTTTGTTATAAATTATAAATAAATAATCATCGTTTTATATAAAGTGGTGATCGTGTGACATAATAAACGTAGCACGCTACTCGATATTTTCCACTTTGAAGATAATTTATGAATCATAAATATGTATTATAAATAAGTATAACCATTAATTGTTTTATGTTTATGTACTATTAACCTAGTGGAAATTAGGTAATTCTTACATTGCATTCGTTTCTATGGTGATAAACAAAGAGTTAGAAAAAATTGGCTAGAAAAATAAAATGTATCCAGTCAAAAAATATATTTATGATAATATTATAATATAATTGCGTAGAGAAGAATAATTTAATTAAAACATACTAAAATAATAAAGATTAACTTATAATATGATAATCGACTAGGTTGGTACCTAATAAGATCAACAAACCAAATCATTTATCGTGAAAATACGTAAATTTGAGTTCTATCGTAGGTATTAAAATGTACCTAACTCAAAACACGTATCAACCTTTAAAACACAAATACATAATATTGTAATAAATTACACCATAATAGTCATAACCCAGTTGCAATTTTGTTAGGGTGTTAGCACAAAATATCTTGTGCGCATTGCAAATGTTTATATAGTTTTTTTTTTTTTTATATCTTTGGATTAACAAATAGATAATAACAAGTGGGTTAAGTTAGGTGCCACTCTTTACATGGATTTGTTATTATATAATTGGCGTTGTGCACTCTTCAAGTCTTGACTATTTGCCAATATTAAGACAAGACAAACGTCGGTATGTTTTGTAAGATGCAATAAAATGCATACAAATTGTGTTATTAATTATAGAAGTATTCCATCAGATCAGAACTTGATTCTTTGTAATCGGTATATTTATGATTCCAGGTTATATAGTAGGTACCTACCTGTATAAATATATAATATAATTTGCCAATTTGCTGTATTCGTATTATAAATGCGTATTATATATTGAAGGCATGAAGTGAAACTAGATTTAACTGATTTAAGTTATTAAAACCATTCAACAACAGTTTTTATGATTAATAATACTATCACTAATACTGATTATAATACATTTATAATCATGAATTTTTTTTTTTTTATTTAAACTTTAGGTATGTAATAACTTTATAACAATACAAGTCTCGGAAAAAGCCTATGAATTAATATCAACTTACTTAATGATGTTTGTGTTTATTATTAATTATCAAGTGTATGATGTTTTTAATACTAATTTTCTACAGAGTTCTTAGATTTGCATTTATCAAACTAGATAAAACCTAAACAATGTAAATAAATTAATATCATTATTTTTTATGCGTACTAAATTTAGTAGCAAAACTATGCTGGTAAAATTTATTGTTTGATGCAGTAATATACTCTCATCAATAAATAATAAATAATAATAACTATACTACAACTATGAAATATTAGTTATTTATGTATACTTGTATACAATCCACATTGATTTTATATAAAAATGTAATTAATTGTAAAGTACATTTTGTTTTTCATTTAAAATTCTAATACGTCATAATATTTTCTTAAAATTATTTTATACGAATGATAAATAATGAATATTTTGACACGTCAACAATACACTTTTTTTTAATAAAAAAAAAAAATTTAAAACTTAAAAATCAAATTAATATATTGACTAATAACTAATAAGCTTATGTATATTGAATAGAGATAAGGTAAATTTACCAATTATTTTTTTACCAAAAAAAATTAGCATGTGGTGCCTCAAATTAAACGGCTTCACGGGGCCAACATGCATCAGTCATATCATATTAATAAAATGGAATAGTTTATATTATAAAATGTAAAACTTCCACAACCACTGATAGTGTAGTACCTATACTACATAACATTAAACATACGAATACACCATAAGAATATCTGATACGATCAATTATTATCGCAATTAATATACATTTGATTTTAT